CTGACCTCAGAGGACCTAGGTTCAAATCCAGACTCTGCACACAGCCCTGCGTGATTTGGGGCAAGTCATGTGCCTCTCCTCGCCTCAATTCCTTCATGGGAACTCTAAGAAGATGCACAGAATGACTTCTCCCCGTCCAGGCCTGTGACCCCGTATCCATGAGGCTCATGTACCCACTTCTGGGTTCTGGGAAGCCAACCTTCTGACCCTCACAAACTTCCTCCAACACATTTAGCTGACGCTGTGAACAACTTCCCCATTCTGGCCATCCAGTGACATGACGCTTCCTTCATCTGAGGCATTGAAAACACCAACACCTGGCATCCTTAATTTAGGGCCATTAACAACAATTAGAACTATTAGCTTTGGCTTGAGTTCTTTAACAAACACTCTGCTCAGGCAGGAAGGGGTTCTGGGAAATTCCTTTGCCTTTCAGAGTCAGGGAAGCAAACACCTCCTAACAGATCCCTAGGAACACAGTTCAGGGGTGGCAGCATGTCTGTTCCCAAGGGGCTGCTTTGAAGGGTTGGGCGCCTCGGTTTCTCCTGGCACTGCCTTCAAGAGCCAGGTTCCCCTCCCCTCAGTGAGAGCTCAGAGGAAGCCTCCCTGTACACAGCCAGCCTGTACAGAGGCCTTCCTGACTGAGAGGTCAGCTCTCTCACCACTACGTCATACGGCCTATTGCAGCTGGCCAATGTCCTTCCTTAAAGGAGGCTCTGAGGACCGAACGCACTACACCAGATGTGCTCTGATCCAAGATGGAAAGACTTTGGACTCAATCACAAAATACCTGAGCTGGGAGGGCCCTCAGGGACCTTCTCAACCAACCCCTTTGTTTTACAAAGGGGAAGCTGAGGAAGCTGAGGCCCAGAGAGGCCATAAACCCAGAACTAGAAGGGCTCTTCTGTGGATTCAGATGGCCTGTCCACAGTAGGGCTTCAAGAAAGCCTTCTTATGATGAGCAGGCTGACTTCAGAAAAACCTGGAAAAACTTATATGAACTGATGCTGAGTGAAGTGAGCAGAACTAGGAGAACGTTGTACACAGTAACAGCCACGTTGTTCAATGACTAATATTGATAGACTTAGCCCTACCCAGCAGTACAAGGACCTAAGACATCTCCAAAGGCCTCATGATGGAAAATACTATCCACATCCAAAGAAAGAACTATGGAGTTTGAATGCAGATCAAAGCATACTATTTGCTATTTTTTTTCTTCTGTTTCGTTTTGTTTCCTCTTTCAGGTGTTTCCTCCTATTGGTTCTAACTCTTCCTTACAACATCACTAATGTGAAAATACGTTTAATAAGAATGTAAATGTATAGCCTATATCAGACTGTGCGCCATCTTGGGGAGGGTGGTGGGGAGGAAGGAGGAGAAAAATTTTAAACTCAAAAGTATATGGATGTGATTATTGATAAATCAAATAAATTAATAAAAAAAGAGAAAGAAAGAAAGAAAGAAAGAAAGAAAGAAAGAAAGAAAGAAAGA